TACAAAGCCTCAAAATTAGCTATTGAACTATAAATGTCTGTGGGGCTAGGGGTGTTTCCACACAGAAGGCCCCAAAGCACTACCAAATCTTTGGTCTTCAAGCAGAATTCGAACCGGCTTTCCAGTTTCCAGCTACCAGGGCTTCAGTGCTTTTCTGTGTCTACGTTCCTGCTACAGTCTCACCACACTATGTCATTCCTGGAGTAAACACTTTCTCCTCTTCTTCCTCTGGCTTTTCTGCTTACAGTTAAGGTACTTGTGCGTGCTTGATCAGAAAGGATCTGCCATTTTGGTGTTTTTTTGTTTTTAACAAGGCAAACAATTTCCCCACTGTTTCTTAATTATTTTTAAAAATAGTTATTTATTTGGGATCTTAAGCTGAATGATATAGTGCAAATTAAATGGTCTTAGCAGAAATCAGGGTGATGATGAGAATCAGCAACATGGCTTACATTTCGTAACTTTACAAGTCCATAACTGTGTTGCAGATATACAATCAACCCTGTTAGTGAATGGTGAAGATGTACATCCATGCACTGGCGAGAGTGTTTTGGTGTGCATCAGGTGTTTCCAATGCACATCAGGCACTTCCAATGACCACTAAGTACTTCTGATAACCATCACACCCTCATCCTGTCCCTTAACATTGCCCTGCCTTATGGCATGAGGAATGGAAAACTGCTCTGAACAATCTGTTTATAATTCCAGTTCCATAGTTCTGTTATTTTATGATTAAAGAAGGAATCCCCCCCAAATGACACAATATGAATCTTTTTCAGAAATTTAATTGTTCACAGCATTAGAGGGTTTTTTGGTAGTTTCCCCCCCCTTTACTCCATGAAATTCCAGAGTTTGCTGCCACAATTTTGTTAAAAAGTAAAAAATAAAATAAACAGAAAAAATAATGTAATCAGGGTACTTCAGAATAGTGAGGTGGATGTGAGATGAGGGAGGAGGGAACAGTGACACCACATGTCTGTTGATCATGCAACTGCCCTGGGAATGACATTTCGCACTTGTAAACTTGTTCAATTTCCAGATCATCCATGAATGAAAAGGGACGGATCAGGGATAGGGCAGCTATGAGTCTGGGGCAATGTTATGTGATGGGTATTGCCAAAGTTGCTTCTTTCCTAATGAAACTGTGGTTTAAAAGCTACATGTAGTAAAGTCCTTATATTACTTATTTGTCTTTATTGTTTGAAACATATTAGGCATTTAATGCATCCCTTCCCTCTAGTTAAGAAAAAACGTATTTTGTATTGTTCTTGGTCTTTGGTGTTTGCATTTGTTTCACTTATAATTCCCATTCTTAATATTAATAGTATTATTTCCATATTTGTCAGTACAATGTTGTGTATCTTTCTCCTAAGAATTTAGTTTGAGGCAAACTAATTTTTTTTTAAAAAACAACAGTTTTGGTTTCATCCCCCCCCCTTTTTTCTTGTTTCATTCACTACATGATCATCATCAACAACAAACTATAATTCATAGGATTCCCTAGCACTGAGCCAGGGCAGTTAAAGTGGTCTCAAACTAGATTATTTCTGCAGTGTGTTTTGGGCCTCAGTCTATTGGTCACGTATGATGGCATCACCACCAATCACAGCACCACAGGTACTTTTGGGAGTGATGTAGGAGGTACCTTGTACATCCCTGTGTAACACCCCTTGCTCTAGGTGTGCAACAGCAGCCATGGGGCTCCTGGGTGCAACTCCATTGCCCCAGCTAGTAATCAGCTATGAGGGTCCTCCTAGTAGTTTTGTGAGACATTTAGCCTTCTCTGTTAGAGAGCTCTGGAGCCACAACAAACTACAATTCCTAGGATTTCCTAGCACTGAGCCAAGGCAGTATGTTCTGACTGCCTTTGAAGACTCTGAGAAGAAGGAGCTGCCTTACTCTGGGGACAGAGGCTGCTCCTTCTTCCCTGCGTGCACCTTGAAATTGACCTCAATTGCATCTGATGAAGTGAAGTGGGTTGCAGTCCCAAAAACTTTATGTCAAATAAAAGTTACTCGTCAAGGTGCCACAAAACTCTTGTTTTTCTAGAAGAAATCAAGATTCAAACCTCCTGTGGAGAGCCTACATGGACAGCAAAGGCTCTCAGATTGAGGGCATTGCCATGCACTGACTGTAACTGAGAATGACAAAGGAGGGGAAGAGGGCTATCAAGCTCCTTGCCTCACATCCTTAATCTACACTTGAAGCCAACACTTGAGTAGGGCTAGTCCTACTGGTTAAGCTAATGGGTGCTGCACGAATAGCCAAGCCTTCATTTCATTTTACAGTGGGCCCTTGGTATCCTTTGGGATTTGGTTCCAAGGCCCAGCATGGATACCAAAATCCATGGATGTTCAAGTCCCATTAAATACAGTGACAATAGTACAATAGCGTACCTTATATAAAATTACAAAATCAAGGTTTGTTTTTTAGAATGTATATATTTGTAAAACATCTGCAAGCTGTGGATGCTTGAATCCAAGGATAAAAACACTGTGGATACACAGGGCTGACTGTAATTCTCAGCAACACAAAACTGCTCAATTATTCCATTACTTTATTTGTGTCTTGCATTTCCCTCTCAAAGATAGGATGCCAAGTTGTTTTCCCTATCTCCCCATTTTTTCCCAGGTTCTTTCCTATAGAATGTCAGTATAATAGCTGGAAGAAAAGGATGTAAACAGCAGCCCTTTCCCCAGAATCTAGTTTTTCATTACACCAATGGCTTGAACAGATAGAGACGCACCTGGTTTAGCTCCTCATCATGTGAGGATGATGATGAGTACTGTATATACTCAACTATAAGTAGACCCCATGTATAAGTCAAGGGCAGGTTTTGGGGCCAAAATTACGGATTTCTATATGACCCATGGATAAGTCAAGGGTAAAACATAGGGGCATGCAACAAAGGATGTAAAGCATGAAGCAAAGGAAAACTATGCCAACATTCTGGCAGGCATAAATGTTTGTGTTCACCCTAAAGGCTAGATGGATGACAGAGTAGAGGTGGCTGGTGCTTCTTTTAGGTGCTCTCAGAATGGTCTAAGCACTCACCTTTTGTCACTCTACTCACAGAAATTAGATGGCTCCTTTATTTTTTAAAATAAGAGTTAAAGTATACTTCTTACATTGATCCATGGATAAGTCAATCCAGTTTTTTGGGGGTCAATTCTAGACTTATACATTAGTATATATAGTAATTGTCCTGCACAATCTAATGATCAGGAAAAGAAAAGTGACTAAACCAAGACAAAGAAAAAAAGGCAAGCTAGACACAAGAGAAGACACAAGAGTCAGAAAACCCAGGAGTCAGCCCAACCTTACCTGTGCTACAGGGGGCATTATATTCAACAGTGGCATGGTCATCTGGGTGAAAGAGAAGAGGAAGTGCCCATGAGCTGAGTTCATTTCAGTACCCTCTGCCATCAGCAGCTCACAAAAATGAATTCAAATACAACATTCAAGCAATGCATGTTATAACTTTTAACAGAAGGTAAGAGATCAATGTATCAATAACATCTTTAAATTGACCAAACAAAAAACCCAAATTAATCCTTCCCAGATCCTTTTATAAAAGACTATCCCCCTCCAAAATGTCAAAAGAGAGGAGAAACAATTGCCCCCTTCTCTCTAGAGGGTCACTGCCCCCTGAGACACCTTCATAAAGCCAGCCAACCTCTATTTGTCAGCTTTTTAGAAAGGTCCTTTGCTGGACAGAGTCGGAGGGAAGGTTCAGTCTCTCTGAGCCTCATGCTCACAGATGAAGTGGACGCCCATCCATACCACTATGGAGTTTATCACAGAAGGCCATATGTACCTTCATCCTGATAATGATTAAAGCATCCGCATCCCGCAAAAGCGCACAAATGCGTGAATGATTTTCACATGCAGAGAACCCAATATCGCATTAGTGGCTCATTACTTAAGCAAGAAAGTAATTTGCGTTTGGTTTGTGTGTAAATCCCATTGAT